CGCCACTTCGAAATTCTTGAGTAGACAATACCAGCACCGTTACCTTTAAGGCTCAATTCACACTGGCGCAGAATCGAAGCGTCGCCAAGCGTCATGTTTTTCGCCTATAGCATATTCATCTCTATTTTCGCGCGTCGACCATTGGTTAAAGTCGAGTAATTTCGCGCGTTACTTGCGCACCGTGACGCCTCTGACGCCGACCAAACTGTGATCCGGGCGCGGTAATGCGAGTGTCGTTGCGCTACGACGCGCGTCGCCATGTATTGTAGTTGAAAAACAGGCCGCGAGCGACGCGACGCTTCGACTCTGCACCAGTGTGAGCTGAGCCTAAGGGTCGCCTGAAATTGCCGCGACCAGATGGCGCGACGCTGAGATGTATTAAAACGAGTACTGCAACGTAAACTTTATGGTATACATAATAAGGGTGCATTTATTCTAAACAAGCACTTGCCAATAAAGGTGTGACGTTAGACGTGTGTGTTCACTGGCCAAAATAATATTATGCCGCTGACCACATTGACCTCTGGTAGGTCAATGGCAGTATTAGAGGATGGAAAAAAATAAAATGGCTGACCACGAAGAAGACCGTATCGGTGTGATTATTACTAGAGATGGTTGTAATACTAACACACACACTCATACCCGCACTGAACCCTGTATCGCAGATGCCATGGACACAGACATAGACCACCTCAAATTACACCCAAACTCACGAGAGAAACAAAAATGTAGACCATACAAATATTTCTCCCGGGACTTCTGCGTGGCAGACCAGCATGGTAACCATTCCGCCACTGAGGCAGTTAAAGTTATAATTTTTATTATTGTTTATTAAATATGCTATTATATCAGTTTTGCAATTAAATAATAAGTATAAATACTTTAAGGTTAGGCAATGATTACATAACGTTTCTCCAAAACTCAGACTCCAGAGATCAATATTTTGTATAAAAAATTCCAAAGACTGTATGGAATTAGTGGCTACACTTGCAATCTCAGACGTCGTGCATTAAACATAGGTAGTTTCATTACCGTCGAGAAGGCCCGGCCGGAAGAACGGGTCGCTCCATAAATTATAACTTCCGCTAGTTGAGACGGATTGGAGCTTACACACTAGACGTTTTTTGTACGAGCGCTTGGAATAAAGAAGACTTATGTTATGAAAATGCCTAATTGTCCATTGAATTGGATTGAATTTCGTTTTAGTTTTCTTGTAATAATGTAAATATTGTGTGTTAATCGTAATAAAAATTATGTCACTTTTTAAATCTAAATAATCTCTCAGTAGTCTAAAAAACCGACCCGAAAAGTTCGTGGAATTACATATATTTGCCAAGTTTTATTGAAATCGGTTTCCGAAAATCGTGCGTAACCGGATTCATTCCCTAGTTTGCCACACTTAGAGGTGGAATGTTTGAAGTCGGTTAAAAATATTAAACTTTATTGTATTTTTCCTTTCATCCAAAACTATGAAATTAATGTCGGTCAATTTCAAGTATTTCTGATGGCTGCTATGTAATGGTCTTTTTTAGATCGCCTCTTTGAATGTATTATATCATTGATTCGTTTGTCATTGACAGTAATAGCACATTGTTGGCGCTTCGTTGCTTCGATTTTTTAAAATTACAATTAGAAATTGCCTGGTAACCCTTCCGTGATTTGCAATTACTATTTTTAAAAATATAAACTATTGCAGATTGCATATAACAAGGCATAGGCAACTAAGCTGCAGGATGCTCCTAATTACGAACCCTACAACCTTCAATAAGTGTACAGCCACCCACTCAAACC